GGTTACACATGAGCACTGTAGCTTCACATTATGCCCCCAGTAACACCAATACAAGTTGTTATTCTTTAATGGGATTACACAGGCATAACTGACTGACAGGAATAATCATGAAAAAGAAGCATCAGATTACTCTCCTAGCAGTGTTAATGCTACAGGGCTAATGGAGGCTAAAACCCCAAATTACCACACTTATCACTGAGGTCAGCAAGTGCAGTTATATTTAATAAAGAGACATTTTTACATAATCATTCTCAAGGTAGAACCACACTTTAAAGGGCTTCATGTAGCATTTATGAAAGATGAAGGGGGAAAAATTAAAATTAGCCTAATATAAAATTATGTGATGCTGAATGCCTGATTAATAGCATCTGAAAGAGGAAATTTAGTACAGAAGCAATTTTTTGACATTTTAAGTCTCCCAAAGGGACAATACCCCATTCCATTCTGACATGCTGACATAGATCATAATGTGATACAGCTCACATGCAGTCCCAATGGAACATGGAGCTGGCCTCCAGGGGGGTTAGGTGTAAGATGACATTTTGCAGTGTTATTTATTTTATTTTTAAGGCCGCAGGTGTTCTTTATTCTAGTACCAAATAAAAAATTGAATCTTCTGGCTATAATATGAGCATCAACAAGGTCACTGCTGTATTTTGTACATGGGAAATTAGCCTATATGGACTTTAATCCACACCTCTCTAAAGCCGCCTCTAGCCCATCAGAGCTGAGCTGTGGTCTTCACCGTAATTTGTATTACTTAAACTGTGGAATTTCAACTATGAGCTATGATAGAGTGGTGCATTTCCTTGCTACTGTTGTTAATATTTTGATTATTATGTCTCTTTCTTTGTTATGTGCAGATTTAGGGGGCATATCTCCCATAATGAGTTGAAGGTTTTCTGGAAGCATGCAAGTGAGACCAAAAGGTTTAGATGTAGAAAATTTCAGAAGAGATATAAAGACAGCTAATTTGCCATACCTATTATTTCGCCTGGGAAACAGCATATGACATTACCATAGAATTCCTCCTATGATGATAAGCAGGGATCCTGGTTTTCTCTGATAAAAAAGTCCCCAATTTTCAGGTTAGAATAAGTAAGCCAAAATCCACATTTTTCTGTGATTAAAATGAAACACCACTAATATATACAGATATTTATATAGATATATAGATATATAGATATCTATATAGTGGTATATATATATTAGTGGTGTGCATATATACATA